GAAAAAAGTCTGGAGACCCTCATCTGATATTCGCACGTGGAAATTTCTTGCTGAAATCTAAATTATCAGGTGAACCACGGACCATTCATCCGCCGTTGAGACTTCCCATTCTCATGAGACATCACACGTTCTCGGATCTGGCCGGCGAGATTCGCCTGCTGGGCGAGTACCGGTACTGGTGTAAGGACTCTTACCGGCAACATACAGTACCGGTAGGACACAAGTACCAGTACTAGTACATGAAAAAACGTGGCGGGGCTATTTTTATTTTTTTTGCTTTGACGGAATCTCTCCTCCTCTCAATATTCCTCCTCCCCAAGGTGTTCCATTTTGGGCATTGCCTCTAGTTACCAGGGGAAGCAGGAAAAGGAGCAGAAAAGGAAGGAGAGTGTAATTTAGCGAAATACTATTTTTCCTTGCCTTGGGCCGCGGAGGACGTAACAGATTGGTACCACGATACAGCTAAATTTGACGGAAGGGCTAGCGGGAGGGGGGAAAGGAGACCTTGGTCTCCCAAGCAGATAAGAAATCTGCAACATGCAAGCCGCACCCAATCAATCAGAGTAAAATGAGACCGAGTTCTCCTCATGCAAAGGTTCCTTGCTGCAGCAGCCGAGCAGGCAGGCAACATCGGAATTACCCTCTCGGCCTTGGGACAGCAGCGGCAACCGAACCACTGCAAACGCCACGTTGCTATTATTGCCGACTCTCGACCGACCGAAAGAACGCAAGAACGGGCCATATGAATGGAATAACCTTACTCGAGTAGATGAGGGATCTCTTTTAAATCTCGATTCTGCCCGGGGAAAGGGATTGGTTTCATGTATGCAGTGCGAGTATGGGGGGAGCCGAATAGGCCGGTGCAGGTCCTGCCGCTCTCTGCTACGGTACGGCATTGGAGAATGAGAAGCGAGAAGGAGAAGGAAAAGAAAATTCAACCAATGCGGGTTTTGATGGGGTTCCGTATAATATTACCGCCGTGGAGTGAATAATTCATCTGATCTCATCCTATCATACCAGTACCGGTACTCTTCCTACCATTCTGCACGACGGTAATTCCCGTGCGATGCGTTCTACAGTACTTGTACGAGTACCGGTGCTTTAGCTTTCCCCGGTTGGCCCTGTCCGGCAGTGTCGGTAATACCATGCCGTGACATTTTATTCGATTCTTCACTTTCTCAAAAACCCGAAGGCTAACCACGCCACTAACCACGGTACAAGTATCCTTCTCCATCCTCCGACCTTGGACTAGTTCCCACCTCACGTCACTTCCTTTCCTTCCTACATAACCCACGCGCGCCTCATAAACGCCACCAATGTGGCTTCCAAAATATAGCGCACATGAGACAAAGAGAAGAAAGGGTCTAGAATCGTGATTGTTTTTTTTTTTTCATTATGCGTTTCTTCCCCTGCCGGAGGTGGTTTCGTCGTGTACGGTGGTTGGAGAGCTACGACACGGCGTGGAGAGTGGAGGATGTGGGTTTAGCTTGTTAGTTGCAGTACTTGTATGATACTAGTAGCTACCGCTGACGCTCCTGAGTTGGGCAAGCAAGCACGCACGATCGGGAGGGGCAGGGGCGCCACGTGGAGTTGGTATTATTATTATTATTGTTATTACCATTGGGTTTTGAATGATGCTGGTTCCTGGCTGCGATTTAGTAAGCCGTTCGATCAAGAGGTGGGGAAGGTCTCATACCAGGTACATATCATACGGGTGCGAAGTAAGAAGGTTTCTGTCACTGTGGTCTACCGTATGATACTTGTATCATCGATGGTGGCTTGGGCTTTGGGCTTGGGAATCCCATGGTATGATATTGTGCTTTCGCTCCTCGAGCGTCTTCCTCACTCTACTACTGGTATGCTCGAGTATGCTGTGGTGGAGTGATTCGGTGAGAAGTTATTACGAAAGAATACCGGATTTCTTTTTTTTCTTCTTTTTCTCCCGTCAGATAAGCTCCTGCGAGCCCAGAAGTGCAAAAAGATGGCGAATACGACTGAGTACGGATAACTCTCTCCCGTATTTTCCCCCTTCAAGGTCTGGATATCAATCGATTGCCGGCGCATACTGAGCTGCAAGGTTAGGAGCGGGCCTTGCCTAACCCCGTATTCCCAACGATACTCGTAAGTTGATCTCTACTGTTAAATGCATCGATGAAACGACCGGCGATGAAACGTGGACCCGGTCTGCACCTTCGAATAAACTTACAGTACCGGTACTCACCAGCTGGTCAACTGTGCGATTCGAATTGTAACCCCCCACGCTCCCCCCCCCCTTCCTGCCGGGGCAAACAGCCGACTGCGGTCCGGCCGGCCGGCTGACCGACCGACAATCAATCGTTTGTTTCGTCATGGCCCGGTTCGAATACGGGTGCTAACCGGAGTTATGATATGATACGGTAAATTATATCATCGTGAAATATTTAATATCGGTCTCTATGCTAACTAAATGTACCGGTACGAGTATGATACCTAGGTTGGTGGCCTAACCGATTATCCCCGGCCCCGGGTTGGGGTGGAGGGTGGGGTGGGGCAAGGAGATGGAGAGTGGCAACCTTTTTTATTTTCTTACCCTATCTAGTTCATATCGTACAGCGCCAATAGTACCATATCACAAAGTGACGATCAATGAAGGTGGGGGGAGTGGATTGATGTGGAGTACGGAGTGAGGCTAAAAATGTTCTTCGTATATCCGGGGGCGCAGGATGGATAGTGCTCGCTCATATAGAGTCAGGCGTTTTGGACTGTGGTGGAGGTGAAGGAGGACTAGGGTATGGCGGTATAATGTTCTGGCTCTATCCCACTTTCCGGAAGTCATATCCGGGAGTAGGAGTCTGCGGTCTCAGAAGGTGTCTCGACTTACCGTGCTTGCTTGCCGTAGCGGTGGTGGTGGTGGTGGTCCATGGACTACTCGTAGAGATGTGGGCATGAAATGATCAACCTTCAGCAAGACATCGCACGGTAACTAATCCATATTATCATGCTCCCAGCATGTCCTACCTGTTATCGACACCTACGTGGCCCGTCACGATTGCAAGATACGAGAAATATGCTAGTTACGATGACTCGTTCGGGCAGGAGCGAAAAGCCCTCTCTCCCTCTCCTTCTCCATCTCTCCTTTCATCCAGTTTATCCTTTGCAACCACATTTCAGCTTCCTCCTCCTCCTCCCCTCCCATCACTAATACACCCCCTCCCCCTCCTCCTTCCGAATCGCGCCTCCACTCGAGTGCAAGGCTCAAGCGGGGAGGGAGGAAGAGAAGGAAAAAAAGTAATGTTTGATTGTGCGATTCTCCGGTTAGCCGGAAAACTGGGGCCGGAATTCCTCTCAGGTTGCGCAACTTTGTCTCAACCGAGCTCAGCTTCTTGGTAATGCCATGTCGTACCTGTGCGTGCCTGTGCCTGTAGGCAAGAAGGGCTACGGCATCAGGCTGAGGGAAGGGAGGGGGAGCACAAGTGCGACAAAAAGCGTATAGCCAGCTTCCGCGATATCGTACCTGCATGAGTTGGGCCGGGGTGGGTATGGATGCAACCATGCTATTGGCTAGTAGGATGCGGTGTCATTGCTGGGATTTGGAAGGTTGAAATTGTACGAGTACTTGGACTAGTACTGTACCGTACTAGTACTGGCACCGGTGTGATATTATGGTACAGTACGGTACGGTAGAGGGAGCCACGATCCATCACTCATACCCTGATTGCGATCCTTTATCTTTTTTGGCGGTGGGGACGTTGACAAAGGGACACGGCCGGGAGAGAGGATAATTAAGGGAAGAGCTTCCAGAATGGGTAATCTACCATTGGGGCTGGTGGAGATGGGGAGGTCGGGGGTGGAAGAAATGAGATGGGAAAGCGGCGGTATTGGCGGCAACAGGTTAGGAAAGGGTAGTCAGCTGCGGGACTATCATACCGGTACCGGTAATATGGTACTTGTACAGGATGATAATATTATGATATGGAGCTTGGAGAGGGGGCTTCTGGGTAATAGTAACAATGTTATTATGATCTATACTCGTGTTTCTCAGCCAAGATTTGGCACCCAATTTGCCCTAGCGGGTGGCACCAGTTCTTTTCCACTGAAGCGGTATCATGCCAATGGTGCACAGCTATATACCATCACCTGGGCCACCTAACTCTCTGTTTTTTTTCCCAACTTACGGCATTCGGCTCCGGTGATTCCCTCAGAAGAGTTTAGCTTAGAACTAGCTACACACTATTCGAAAGCTATAAAGCGGTTGCACCCTCAGCGAGATTGCACCCACAGCGAGATCCTGACATAATAATCTGCCAAGACATACGTAGGTTTGAGGAATGATTTTTGGTTGGTAAGGTTGTGGTGTTGAGCTGAGGCAGAGTGGAGTGGTTTATCTCATGTAGGTTAGCAGTGACCGATCTGCAAAAAAGGAAAGACTTGGCATTTTCTTACTTATACAAATCTCGCTGAGGGTGCAATCTCGCTGAGGGTGCAACCGCTTTACCCCTTCC